GAACCACGGATGCACCTCAAAAATCCATTGGAAAAGGTAGTTTTAATGTTGAAAGACCCTTTGATTGATCATCTCAACATCGAGATGTATGATCATGAAAAATAAAAAACGTTTTAAGTATTAGAAATAGTGCATTTTATAACATATTATCTACACCATTCATTTTCAAGATTTCATATGTTTATAGATCTACTTGATATTAACCATTTTTTAAATTTAAAATTTTATAATTAGATATAAAAATAGATTTTGAGATAATCCTAAAAACATTTTGCATCAAAATTATATACTGTGAACAAATTTGAAGGTGCCACCTTACCTCAGCTACGGATGCATCCGTGTGCCAATAAAACCCTTGCCACCAATTTAAAACCCTAGGGTATTATAACCAACGTCCCAAAACCTCTCGCTTCTAGGTCCATCCCTCTTCAAGTTTCGAAGTGTTGGCTATTTGTTTCCCTTATTTGCCATCCATCCCAATCTTCTATTTTTTTGTGTTTTCTTTGATTTAGTTTGCTAGGAACATGCACTTATTTGGCAAGTCTCATTAGACGATTAATGGAAAACCAATAAAATAATGGGAAAACTTTATATAAGCCCAGGATCTAAAAAATCAAACTAGAGACTACCTTAAAATTTTTACTAGAACAGGTTGTTTTGATGCTCAAATATCCTCAAATTGATCATCTCGACATCAAGATGCATGGACATGAGAAAAAAAGGGATTTCAAATTTTGGAAATAATGTATCTTGTAATGCATTTTGAGACCGTCAATTTTCAAGATCTTCAAGTTTTCATAGATCCGCTCGATCTACACTATTTTTTAAGCTTTAAATTTTATAATTAGAGATGAAAATATATTTTAAGGCTATCACAAAGATTTCTAGTATTAAAACCATATTTCTCGATAGTATTTGAAGGTGTGCTCTTCTTTGATTGTTTAAAGCCTCGGCTCTGTACAAACTGCACCCATACATAATTGATATGGTTAATATTTTGAATAAACATGTATGGTTCACTATATCTGGTAAAAAAAATATTTTGAATATACATGTATAAAACCTACACTAAACCAAAAAAGTAGAAAAACTTAGTCAATAATTTTAGAAAATTTGTATGGTTCAACCGAAGGGCGTCAATTAGTATCGGGACACTATAATAACTCGAATTCCCTTTGATACATTATCGGAGTTTGTGTAATTAAAGTTTCAATACAGCATAAAATAAAATCAACTTACAGAGTAATTAATGGAAAAACAGTACACAATTGCCAGAGTTAAAAATTTGATTAATTAAATATAAAACTTATTGTATGACTCAAGGAAAAGTTAAAAAGATTCAAAAATATGAAACTTAGTATATAATCACAAGATAACTATTATGAACTAACTATATTTAGTTATATTATAATATACATAATATTGTCAATAATTAATACTATAATAGTTATGGATTTTAAGAATTATTTAAGAAATAGTAGTTATCAGCATAATAATTAGAGTAATTATTACAGATTCTCCCTAAACCACTTCAGATTCTGGATCAGAAAGCAGGATCTCTTAGACACACCTGTCGGACACCCGCCTATGGTCTCCCCATCTTCTTGATCTCTGGATCAGAAAGCAGGATCTCTTAGACACACCTGTCGGACACCCGCCTATGGTCTCCCCATCTTCTTGATCTTGAAGGACGTGACTGATAACCTAGTATGATCTATGCAATAACCTCATTTTGACTCCATTCAATTCGAATGGGTGCTTTCTCCATTACAATTATTGTGAAAATACATCAATAATAATTAGTCTTGAATAGTTTCTTTGTGAAAATATAGGTATATTCAAAGATTGACTATATGTAAAATCTGGTCAAATTATAATTGTTCATATTGACTCTTAAAAATAACATTAGCTAAGTATGATTTGGCTACCCACGTGAAAATTGTTTATAGTCATTATGGAGAAATCCTTTACGAGATCAGTGTGATTATCATTTCAAAAACGTACGACATCAATAATGATAGTTTTATATTATAAATGATGGTGTTATATATTTTTTAATTGATTAATATTAAATAATTGTTACTATCACAATTAAGTATACAACCTTTTGAAACAATAATACAAAATTGTGCAATAATTAAGGAAACCCTTATAAGTGTAAAATGTATATTTGATATTATTAATCTATCCGATTGGCTAATCATATGGTGATTACAATAAACTATTACATTTTTATTATGTATTAAAAATTATTTGTTAGAAATTAATATCAATTGTAACGTTAATTATTTTGGTTTCCAAACAATATTGTACTGTTAATAATTTTACCTACAATTTTTAATTGATTAATATAAAATAATTATTACCATCACAATTAAATATACAACCTTTTGATACAATAATACAAATTTGTGCAATAACTAAGGAAACCCTTATAAATGTAAAATTTATATTTGATATTATTAATCTATCCGATTGGATAATCATATGGTGATTACAATAAACTATTACATTTTTATTATGTAGTAAAAATTATTGGTTAAAAATTAATATCAATTGTAATATTAATTATTTTTGTTTTCAAAAAAATTGTACCGCTAATAATTTGCCTTCAATAATATATTTATAGTTTCAATAACATATTGCATAAATAATCATATTTTTTTATTATAAGTTTCATTATAATGTAGTCCTAATCATATTGAGTGATATTATTACCATCTTAAAATCTCCAGCGTTTTAATGTAATAGTTATAAACTAGTTGTAGTAATGCAATGTATAATAAGCATTACAATCAAAGATGAAGCTTCTAAAGTTGCAGAGATCTCTTGTTGGTTGATCATTGAAAGTGCATCAATAATAGATGAAGTGGGGAACTTTCAAAATTACAGAAATTTTTAGTTCTCTGACCTAATCGACACTGCATAATTTGGGGAAATTTTTAAAGCCCTAGATCTTAGATCTTGGAAATCACAAAAAAAATGGAAATCGAACTTTCAAAGTTGTTGAAATCTCTGGTTATCTGATCATGGAAATCAAAGGACCCATTAAATTTTTTTTACTGGCTTTGATCATCAAAATGAAAAAAGGAATTTTTTTGGGGAATAAGTTTTGTTTTCTTTAAAGCATTGTTCTTTGGAAAAATTGCATAAAACCCCCCAAAATGAACTTCCTAAACATTTTACCCCCAACCTAACTTTTCCTCGCAACTTTTTCCCTAGAACTATCTTTTCTAGCAAATAACCCCCAACACAAAAAGTTCATTTTTTTTACGAAAATACCCTTCCCATGCATAATAAATCATTTTCTGATCCAATAAAAGGAAACGCTGGATCACGGTTGCCAAAAGCCAAACTGCCCTCTCCAGTGACATAAACGTCTGACCGTAGCTCACAAATGTCGGATCGCTCATTAATCTAGGATCAATTGCCAGACCGCACTTGTAAAATGCCAAACTGCCCCTCCAATAGCATAAATCCTCAGACCGCGACAGCCAAATGCCGGACTGCAAAGATAGTCACCGGACCGAGTCTTACAAACACCGAATCGCACCTTCCATTGACATATTCGCCGGACTGCCCCTTCGTAACGCCGAACAGAGCCAATTCTAGTGACTTCAGTGCCGGACTGCCCTTCCAAATGCCGGATTATACTATTTACAGCGATTGAAGTGCTGGACTGTCCCTTCCAAACTCTGGACCTGCGAGTTGCAATGACCTCAGTGCCGGACTGCCTCTTGGAACTGCCGGACTGGCCGCTTGAAGTGTCGGACTGCCCCTTCAAAATGCTGGACCGGGCCAATTCTGGTGACTTCAATGCCGAACTGCCCCTTCCAAATGCCGGATCGCACCATTTATAATGACTTCAGCTCCGGACTGCCCCTTCCAAATGCCGAACCGGCAAATTGCAGTGACCTCAATGCCAGACTGCCTCCTGGAACTACTGGACTGACCGCTTGCAATGCCGGACTGCCCCTTCGAAATGCCGGATCAGGCCAATTACAGTGACTTTAGTGCCAGACTGCCCCTTCCAAATGTCGGGGTTGCACCATTTACAATGACTTCAGCGCCGGACTGCCCCTTCCAAATGTCGGACCGGTGAGTTGCACTGACCTCACTACCGGACTGCCTTCTGGAACTGCCAGACTAGCCGCTTGAAGTGCTAGACTGCCCCTTCGAAACACCGGACCGGGCCAATTCCAGTGACTTTAGTGCCGAACTACCCCTTCCAAACGCTGGACTGCACCATTTACAGTGATTTCAATGCCGGACAGCCCCTTCCAAATGCCGGACCGGTGAGTTGCAGTGACCTCAGTGCCAGACTGCCTCCTGGAACTACCGAACTGGCCGCTTGAACTGCCAGACTGCCTTCGAAACGCCGAACCGGGCCAATTCTAGTGACTTCAGTGCCGGACTACCCCTTCCAAACGCCGGACTATACCATTTATACTGACTTCAGTACGGGACTGCCCCTTCCAAATGCCGAATAGGTGAGTTGCAGTGATCTCAGTGTCGGACTGCCTCCTGGATCTGCCGGACTGGCCGTTTATGGGGACCTTTGCTCATGCCAACAACAACCTCTATCACCAACCCATAGTGTCATACTGTCATGAGAAGTTATGAAGCAATTGCATTATACTACAGATCAAGTTTAACTACTGGCAACTTTCTTACAGTTGGACCTCCAAATGGAAGAAAAAAAATAGTGTCCATATCAATGGAGTGTTCAATGACATTGATTATGGGTATCTTTCAACCTGTATTTGGAAGTTTGCATGATAACAAAAACAATGGACATTTCATTAGCTGGCTGTTATGATAGAGTACCTTCAATTGTACAAAAAGAATGGACATTTCACTCTTTGAATATCACTACTTAACATTTGTTTCAAACATACATATCACAACCAAAAATACATATCAATTGAAAAATACATCTCAAAAAAATGTTCATAGCCTTTACATGTTAACAAAAAGAATGGACATTTCATTAGCTAGCTGTTATGATAGAGTAGCTTCAATTGTACAAAAAGAATGGATATTTCACTTTTTGAATCTCACTACTTAACATTTGTTTCAAACATACATATCAAAGTCAAAAATACATATTAATTGAAAATACATCTCAAAAAAAGGTTAATAGCCTTTACAACTTGCATTAGTCACTTTTCAAATTACATATTCAGGTATCATCTAAAAAATGCATGTCAATCACTTTATTCGCCTCAGCCAGTTTTTTGGCCAGTTTGTAATACCATTTCCCTTTACTACGTATCCCTCCCTAGTCCTTTCCTCCTAGACATCTCTCTTTCTCTTCATGATCGCAAATTCCACCTTGATTCCGTATGCAAGGCCGGTGTAGCTTCAATTTGGTGATTTTTTCTCTTGTCATTTTCTGTTCTTTATTCTCCTCTCTTTTTCTTCATCGGTCTCACTCTCTCTTTCTTCATCTCCACCATCTCCTTCTTCAGTCTCACTTTCCTTATGTCCACTATCTCCCTCCTCGGTCTCGCTTTCATCATCTCCACTATCTCTCTCCTCGCTCTCACTTCTACCATTTCCTTGACATCTGTCTCCATATGAGTGTTTTGCATCATGTACATAACGTCTGGATTCCCCTGTTAATACTTCACCACGAAGTGCAGCTTATAGTATCCCTATACAAGTTAATCGCTGCAAGTACACAATAAAAAACAAAATAGATAATTACAATAAATACATACTAAGTCGATAAAAACTAAAATACATAAATTAGATAATATAACAATCTCCTCTCTTCATCATGGCCTACAAAGGGGGGGCACATTTGATTGTGACTGCGAGGTGGGGCACATGGGAGTATTGCTATCATCATGGCCTATGAGGAGGGCACATTTGATTACGACTGCGATGGGGGACACATGGGTGTATTTCTATATCTATGGGTAAACATGTTATACCAGGCCATATATTTATTTGTAGGCAGTCCATCATATTTATCCACGTCTGCCTTGACAACATTGTGTTATCGTTGCCTCCAGTTGCTTATCTCTCTACTCAACTCGTTAATCCAACTTGTGGGGTGTAAACCGATTTTTTCCTTCCACTTGGGTGGCCCAACAAGAATCACTTGTGTCTTCCCAAATTGCCGCAGTACACAATCAGACATATAGTACTCTGCAATGTGGAAACTTATCAGATATGATCGGCACAACGTGTTTTTTTTACTGAATGTATCTAATGAGTTGTACTCCTTATATGGTTGCCAAGTCACCTACAACAAAAACATAATACAAAAACCACTTATTTGTATTTGCCTTAGATATATTTACCTACAATTATATAAATACACAAGCAAACTACCAACCATGTTTGTATTTGCATTTGATAGATTACCTACAATTACATAATCACATAAGCAATTCACTAACCATGTCAATTTAGATGTCATCAAGCGTTGGTAATGGGTCTTTGCTGTGTGGTTGTTTCTTCCACTTACATGCTCTAGGCATTTCTATGATGATAGTTGTAGGCTTAGTATGTAAAGCTGGAAAATTCTCATAGATCCAACACTGTAAAAAAAATAGCTGGAATGCGAAAAAATAGCTAGAGGGCAATTAGTTTGAAGCCAAAGAAATTATAAATATCTAAATATTGACTATAAAATTGTGAACATTACCTATGGGGGGTCTGACCTCTTCGACTGCGTATTCTATGAAGTACTTCAACCCCTACGTTCACTCCCATCAAATACATAGACGAATACTTGATTCTCACCTTCAAAGGCGTTTGACATCCTAACAATATCATCGTCAATATATAGGTTCACAATAAATTCTCAATATAAAATACTTCAAAGATCTCAAGTAGATTTCAAGTACGAACTGCTCTGCTACGGATTTTTGTATGTCATCTAACTTAGTTCTGCTGTCAATTATAAATGTACATGCATCAGCACCAATATAATTTAAAGTCCCATTAACACTTCATTGGAGTTCTCCACTAAAATACAATAAATCAATCTGTCATCACCCATTTCATTTTGTCCTGCACAAGAATTGTAATAATTTACACTCCACACATTGCATTACAACGTCTTAATATTGGGCTTGAACTTGCGAAAGTTTGGCAGGCTGTTGGATTTTTTTTCAAATAGCTACAATTAAATTTTAATAAGAGGTAGGCACATTGTTGGGGGGTATATAACCTACAAACACAAGAGCTACTACTAAAATTAATAAGAGCTAGGCATAATTTTAATTTTTTATTGACGAACTAAATTTGAACAAAAGAAATAAGATGGATCATTCATACCCAAAATTTATAGCAAAACAAACCCAATAAATAATAAATTTACAATAGGATCGTAGTTAAACATTTGGGCACTGCTAGCTAAGCAACACCAGAAGTACTATTTGGAAAGGGAAAAAGATTAATAGGTGTTGGAACGAGTATAGAATATACTCGAACTCTATTAAAATGACACTTATGGCAAGCTGGCTTCTGCCCCTTTATGGTGCATTCCATTTATAACTTCTAGATTATATTGATCAATCTACCAGCCTATATGTTCGTCATTTTTCAAGCCTTCAAGTTGCAGCAAATTATAAATGAGTTCCTTCTCCTGAGCTAAGGCATTGATATGGCTTAGTTGTACATTGTGATCTATGGTTGCATCAAATTATAAATGAGCTCCTTCTCCGCAGCTAAGGCATTGCTATGTATGGCTTAGTTGTACATTGTCATCTATGGTTGTAGTTTGAGACAGTAAATCAAGACGCTGAACCCCAATGCATCTCAACAACTTGATCAAAGTGGCCTGAAGCCATGTCCAAATAAATCTTTAACGTCTTCGACAGGGTGTAGCTAGCACTACCCAATAGAAAATAAATTTACAATAAGGAATAAAAATTACAAGTACCAATAACAGTCAAGCCCTAAAGGATAGCACATTCAAACCAATCATCTATTCTTTTAAATAGTTTAAACAGAGTGGATAATCGAGAGTGAGAAACTGGTACACAAGGATTCAATTTCTTTTCTCCGGTTTAAATCTACAATGCATGCTATCTAGGCACGAAAGGAATTTGACAACAATATATATCATTAATAATTTACCTAAATAAAATCCAACAAGGTAAAATTTCATGTGAGATCAAAGAGAAAAAAAGATAGAAATGTAAACATTATTGAAAAAAAGAATATGGGAATAATTTTGGGAATGTGACAGCAATTTATTTTTTATTTTTATAAAAAATAAATAAAATACTCTTGTATACCTTTGATAGGGTGGATTTGGGGCTAAGAGATCGAGCTACAAATCGAGCTCGGGCTTTGGGAGCTTGGGCCGGGCTGAGAAATCAATAGCCCGAGATAGTTCACAAAGTTAGTGAGAGATCATGGGTCCTTCATAGAGATAGAGCGAGAGATAGGGTGAGAGATCGGACCTTGGATTCGGGTAGAGAGATCGAGAGAGAGGGAAAAGCTCAGGCCTGCTTCGGGAGAGAGAGCGAGAGAGAGGGAGCTCGGGCCTGGTTTGGAGGAGAGAGATCGAGAGAGAGGGAGCTTGGGCCCGGTTTTGGGGAGAGAAACCGAGAGAAAAGGAGCTCGGGCTAGTTTTGGGGAGAGAGGGTGCCCGGGCCAATGTGGACAGAGAGAGAGAGCGAGAGATAGGCAAAAGTGGGTAAAGTTCTTAGGAAGTTCATTTTGGAGACTTTTATGCATTGTTCTTTCACTCTAATAGCCCTTCACGGTTGCTCTGTTGCACAGATTCAGTACTTTCTCTCTCTAGCTTTTTCTCTTGACACGTATTCATATATCTAGTGATGCTTATTGCGATCAAAGAAATGATAAGCAAGAATTTGGCTATTCAAAAACCGAATTTAGTTGATTTTTTATTTTTAAATCCGAAATGGGCAATTTTGTTTTTTTTTAAAAAAATGTTATGAAGTTAAAAAAATAGATATAAATGTAATAACGGAAACTAAAAAATATTTTTACAATAACAGCAAATATAACGGATATATGCGTAATTTTTCCTTATTTTCATTATGGTTATACAATAATAATAATTAATGTAATACAAATGTAATTAAAATTATAAGTATCACAATAACAATAGTTGCAAAAAATGGCACCAGCAACTAGGGGACACGTTTTCAAGCAATTGCCAATTGTGAAGTCGGTGAAATAAAAGTATATATTGCATATCAGTATGGAAATTATAAAAAATTGCATTTATTTTTTATTACAACATATACCTTCCATATTAACTTGATATCTAATATATATTTTTCTTTTACAGAGTCTAGTCTAAGGGTGGCAATGGGCTGCGTGGACCGGCCTGACCCGGTTGGCCCAGCTCTATAATTCTAAAGCGCGAGCAACAAAATATGGTCTGAGAACCATGCTATTGTGGCCCAAGCGTAGGGCTGACCCCAATTGGCTCTAGGCCATGATAGGATTGGATCTAGGTATGGTCATGACGGGGCCAACCTCATTAGGCCCAACCAGGCTCATTTTTCATTTACTTTTCCTTCCTTAATAGGGCCAAAGCCGATCTTGGGCTAAGGACTATTTGGTCCCAACCAAGCCGGATCGGGCCTAGGCCAACCCTACAATACTGAGGCTGGGCTAGGGCCAGGGATGGCCTGGCCAAGGCCTGGGACCATTGCCAACCTAGAGTCTTCTAGATGTCTTGAAAGTTTTTTGATACCTCCAAGTAGTCGTATATCAAATTCCATATTCATTTAGGAAAAGATTAGGCAGTATGACCATCGTAAAGCACCACATTATTGGAGGATTGTTTCATCTGAAAATTTTTAGGTCTTCTTTACTGAGGACTAAGATCATCTTAGGTCCCTAAACGATTGACTTTGAACATCTTTTCGGGGGACATGAAGAATGACTCTAGAACATCTTTTGAGCGGGATCCGTCAAATAAGAAGCTCTTCTTTTCTTCTTCAAAATTGTTCAAAGTGATTAAAAGAATAGAAATATTTGCAGAAAAACTATTTTATTTTTTGGAATTTAAAAATTCTCCTATATTTTATATTTTATGCTCGAGTCCTACAAGCATATAATATATTTAATTTTATTTTGTATACATCAATTAAGCCCAAATTTGAGATGTATATGCTTCTCACAATCAGTGCTAATAAAAAATATAAAAAGTAATTTCAAAGAAAAAAATTACTAAAAGTATCGACAGATCTCATCAGGGATATTTTGCTTTTTTTTTGTTATTAATTAATTTATTTAAGGCTGCCTGACAGTGATTTGTATTAAATGCTTTGAGGGTGCAATTAGCAAACCTTTTATCGTGGTTAATCTATGCGTTACAGAGGCTATATCTCCAAAATTTGGGGTCCTGGGGTTTTACGCTAGCGAGTAAATAGATAGTATACTCAAGAGGAAATACAATATGTTATTAGCAAATGAGACTAGAGCAAAATAATATAAATATAAAAATATATTTTAAATTTGAGAAATAACATGTGAAGTTTAAACTTCCAAATGAAAATACCTAGTGTTTGGGATACCTCCAAGATGTGGTCGGGTAGTTCTACCGCCATTATTGTGAGTGTCACCTGGATTATTGCCCAAGTCTCCGATCCCTTCATTTGGGGTTCAATGTGCTCAGAGAGACACGTGGACTCAACAAACATAGATACATAGAGAAAGGACAAGGGCATTGTAGAGAGAGAATTAGGAGTAGAGAGAGAATCCCATCTTGGAAGTTAAGGCCGGCCCAAAGTAGTTCAAAGATGGAGTTTTGGTGTCAAAAATTTTTCCAGCCCTGAAAATTTATTTTATTTTTATTATTAAATTTAAAGTTAAAAAAATGGCACGCATCGAGTATATCTATAAACATTGAAAAATCTTGAAAATTGATTGTCCAAATGTTATATTATAAGACGCTTATATTTAACATGTATATCAAAGTCAAGATGATCAATCGGAAAGTTCTTCTGGGAACAACTTTTCAAATGAGTTTTTGAGGTGCACGTACTTGTTACTTGTACAGTATAAATTTGATGTATTATATAAAGGGAAAAGTTTATATAGAGCCGAGTATCTAAACAATCAAATTTGAGCCTATCTCAAAAATGTCACTAGAAGATGTTTTGCTGTTCAAATATCTTCAAATTGATGATCATC